AACTTGGGCACTCTCTTCTTTCCTAAGTACTGAAAACAAACAAAAAAATATTTTGATCTCAGGAGAGCCACAGAGCAAAAAAAGCAAACATCCCACACTCCTCACAAACCAGAATGTGCAGCTGGGAAAAGTGATGCTTATCCTCACTGCCTCCTGGAACCCCTTCAAATGCCTTGTGAACTTTGGCACTCTCTTCTTCCTAAGTACTCAATACAAAAACGCACTTTTTTTTCACTCTCTGCTGCTCAGCTGTGTAAGTAACAGCACCCATCCCCCACTGCTCCCAAACCAAAAGGGCCAGCTGGGAAAAGTGATGCTGATCCTCACTGCCTCCTGGAACCCCTTCAAATGAGCTTTGCATGTGGGACCCCGCTATGCTTTTCCTCTTCCAACTCTCAAATGGGGCAAATAACAAAGTTGGTTGGCCGTGGTTGTTATAGCAATAAGTATAAGCAAGAGCCTCTCTGCATACCATGCCTGGGCATCAACTATGAACATAGGTCTTTCCTCTATGAGAGAGTGAACAGTGTCTGCACAATATGCCGTCAATTTCAGTAGTTAGAAGAGGCCCAGATAAGAAGCGAAGTTACTGAACAAAATTCGTTCCATTTTACCTCAAACCAGGACACCCTAACAATGATGTCATGGATGTATTGTAGGTGTTCTGGAGCTCCACCCTTCTCCAGTGCCGTCTGCATCAGTCCGTGGCAAACTGTAGGGCTGCGTTTCCCCACCTGGGGGAGTCGATTCCGGGTGTACTGGACACCCCTCCAGGTGAAAGTAAACTGTGGCCTCCACACTGCTGCTAAAGGAATAGCCAAATAGGCATGAGCAATGTCAAGTGTAGCATGTCATTTGGCTGCCTTTGGCTCCAGTTGATACCGTTGACACAAGTTGATGCGTTGATAGAAGTTGTATCATGTCTGGCACAGCTGCACTCAGTGGTGGTGTGACTTCATTCAGGCCACGATAGTCTCCAGTCCCCGTCAGACTTTTGCACTGGCCATATAGGGCTGTTGAATAGTGAGCGAGTTTCGCTGATCACTCCTTGGCTCTCTAGCCAGCAAATCCTCCTGGCTGGAGGCAGGGCACCTCAAATGTTGATCACAGCACCTACGATTAGCAGAGGAGTTGCTACCTGGTCCATAGGATGGCCTACCATAGGTCAGAGCAGCTTTCCATTTCTCCCTCCCACTTCCTCACGTCCTCTCCATAGTTGCAGAGGCAAAGGCAGAGGAAATCTCGCAGAGGGTTCGATTGGTCTTGAGTCAGAGAGAGGTTTTTCTCTTGAGTAGGAGGCTGTTTTTTCTCAGCAGCTGCAACGTGGGTGCGTGGCCACTACTCTAGAAGGCGCCTTGGCGGTGTAACTTGGGCAGTGATGGCTTTAGCAGACACTCAGTGACTCGCTGCACTTCCTGCTCCCCCCTGTCGGGTGCTACTGAGAGGAGCTGGTACTTTGCTCTCGCCTTGGTCTTGGAGGAGAGGTTATTGGCAGCTGTGAGCCGGGTGCCAGGAGAGACAGGGAGCAGCAGCTGTCCATGACTTGGCCTGCTGCAAAAGAAGGCAAGAGAGGGTGTCTTACAACAGGGCCCTGGGAGAGCCCGGAGAAGCCACGACCCTTGGGCTGATTGGCAGTGGGCGCCTGTTGGGCTGCTTTAGCCCTCAGACAGAGGCAGCTCTTTTGAGGGGACAATTCTTGAAGATCTTGCAAGTCTTCACCCATATAGGGTCATTGGATTTCCACTGAAGGCATCCCAAAGAGAGGTATGAGTGCAGGTCTCCTGCCACGCAGCTGCCATCAGGCCACTGCTTCTCCTAAAGGAAGGTGGCATGGTGCCATGATTGAGAGAAGGGACACAGCTTGATGCAAGCAAAATGTCGATTTATTGTACACAACCACGCGTTTATATATGTTTTCATTAGCTGCGTGTTTCAAACAGATTGGTTCTTTTAGCTAAACATCACCTGTTCGGTAACCCCTGATTGGTTAGTAACAAAGGACACTTTAAGTAAGTTTTCGCAATCAGCAGTTAAGCCTTCATTGTACAACTTTGTTACTTCTTGTTTGATACCATCTGCTCCTCTTTTTAACATGTTGTCTCGGTATGACTCATCAGTCAACATTCTGTCGGTGGTTTTCCATTAACCACTTTGTCCTCCCAGGGTTTGTGGCCTACAAGTTCCAGCACGTCCCTGTCTATCAATTGGACAGTACTTGGAGTCTTGTCTTTCAGGCCTTGTCCCACCAGCATGGACAGCGCAGGTGTCCATTGTGCCTTCAATCGGGAGACATCTCCAAAGCCTTCTTGAACCTCACTGCACATGTGACGTCTGCCGTGTGAAGGTTGTGCAGATCCCGTGAGGGTATGGAGAATGAGCCTGGTGCTTGTACAGGAGGCAGAGCCCTGATCTGCAGTCGTGGCACTTGTTCCCTGTGCACAGGGCTCCCCACTCAGGCAGCATCCTAGCCACCTCATGTGGGTCACCCAAGAGCTGTCGGTCTCCTGGGGCATGCTTTGTGGATGGCTCCCAAGGAAGCCACTACAGGCTCCCTACCTACAGAGCCACCCAGGCAACCTGCAGAGCTGTGGAGGGGGACAAGTGATTGCCATTGCCACAGTGCAGGAGCAGAGACAGATCCAGAATCAGTGAAAACAGAGCCCACCACATCATCAGCTCTTCAGAAAAACGCTTCACCACTCTGGGGCAGCCGAGCGCTCAGCCCCTATGCCCGCCTTCCCCCCAAAACTGATGCCCACTCACACACAGAGGCAGCGTTTGTCTGTGAAACAAATGATTTATTGACATCTACGTACATAAAGCTCCACGAGGGACAGGGCAGTGGCTGTGCCGGTGGTAACAGGAGTCTTTGTCGCAAGGCTCTTTGCAAGGGCAACTCAGCTGCATCGCGTCCTACTTCCCCAGAGTGTGGCGCTGCTGCAGAGGAAAGGGGTGGCAGCAGTTCCCAGTGCTGACTGAGGAGCGTGTTGTGCATGCCCAGCGTGCTCAGTTCCACAGCAGCAGCAGCAGCACCCGGGGGAGTCTAGGGGACACTAAGAGAGCTCTGTGCGTGAGGAGCTCTTCAGTGTCCGTAGAAGAGCAGGCTTGTGAGGCGATCTTGCAGCTCATCAGCCTAACGCATTGCCTTGGCGTGGGCGGCCGGGTCGTGCAGCAGGTGCTGGAAGAGGTTGAGTGGCTGCGCTGTTAGGAGGGCTGGGGGCAAGAAGATGTCCTCATATGAGGAAAGGCCAAGGGACTTGGGTCTCTTTAGTCTAGAGAAAAGAAGATTGAGGGGGGATCTTATTAACGCTTAAAATACTTAAAGGGAGGGTGCAAGGGGGATGGAGCAGTCTTTTTTCAGTGGTGCCCACTGATAGGACGAGGGGTAACAGGCACAAGCTTGAACATAGGAAGTTCCATCTTAACATGAGGAGGAACTTCTTTACTTTGAGGGTAGTGGAGCACTGGCACAGGCTGCCCAGAGAGGTTGTAGAGTCTCCCACTCTGGAGACATTCAAAACCCGCCTGGACGCTGTCCTGTGCAACCTGTTGTAGGTGACCCTGCTCTGGCGGTGGAGGTTGGACTAGATGATCTCCAGAGGTCCCTTCCAACCCTGACCATTCTGTGATTCTGCGGGGAGCCCAGAACTGGACGCAGTACTCCAGATGTGGCCTCCCCAGGGCAGAGCAGAGGGGGAGGATGACCTCTCTCCACCTGCTGGCCACACTCTTCTTGATGCACCCCAGGATGCCATTCACCTTCTTGGCCACCAGGGCACATTGCTGGCTCATGGCCATCCTGTTGTCCACCAGGACTCCCAGTTCCCTTTCCACAGAGCTGCTCTCCAGCAGGTCAGCCCCCAACCTGTACTGGTCCATGGGGTTATTCCTCCCTAGATGTAGTACCCGACACTTGCTCTTGTTGAACTTGATGAGGTTCTTCTCCGCCCAGCTCTCCAGCCTGTCCAGGTCACGCTGTATGGCAGCACAGCATTCTGGAGCATCAGCCACCCCCTCCCGCTGTTGTGTCACCACCAAACTCGCTGGTGGTACCCTCCATCCCTTCATCCAGGTCATTCATGAAGATATGGAACTCTTGCTGGTGTTTAGCCCAGGAGTGGGCTCCTTAAACCACCGCTGGGACAGACCAGGCCTGCAACTCCTCATTTTCACAGAGGAGGATCTCCAGCCACCGTAAAGTCACCAATGAGGCATGTTTTGGGGGGTCAAACACGAGTCGTGCAGCCATTCTGCTCGGAGGCAGAGCCCTGCCATCACCTCCTGCAGCCCTGCCCGTAAATTTGCTTTTCCCACCAAGCTGAGTGCATGGTGGTGGGATGCTCAGCAAAGAGAAAAGCGGAGAAAATTTGGCCAAAGCCCTTCAGGCTAATCTCGCCAGGGGTCCTGCTGCTTGGTTGGGCTTTACCTGTCACTGCTTTGCTTTGGGATATCCAAGCTGCTGGTCTTGCCCAGTTTCAGCCAAACGGATTTTGCAGCAGCAGCTTCCATCATCTGCTGGGACTCCTGACACAGACAGGGACAAATCAAAGTTTTCTGTCTATGGTCAAAGTGGAGGCAAACTAAACACCCAGCAAAACACCATGTGCTGCCCTCTCCTTCTGACCTTCTCTTAGCACAGCAGGGTAAAGACCTCTCCTTCCAAACATTTGGGGGGATTAAAACCACCCTGATGAGCAAATCTTTCCATCATATTATAATATTTATTATAAATGGCTCCTTTAAAAATTATACCGCTATTGAAATGTTAAGCGCACTGCTAATTTAGGAAAAAAAGGTTATGATGCAGGATCCTGGTGGTCAGGATCTATTTCTATTGAGTTCGGATATTCCCCCAACATTTCAAGAGAAGCTGTGACAGAAAGAGGCAATCTCAGAGCCCGAGGGAGACATCCAGCCCCGAGCACACAGCAGGCACCACCTCTTCTTCTCTGGCTTCATTTTTGGCATCGTCCAACTTCTTCTTGCTTTCTGTCATAAGGTCATCCAAAAAGCTGAGCTCCCGCTTTGAGAAGCAGAAATCCACCACTTTCCAGACAAAAACAAGAGCCAAAACCTTCACAAAATAAGAGGGAAGAGGCGGTGAGGTCAGAGAGGATGCTACGTCTCACTCCGACGCTGCAAGCGTCCCACTGCCAAGCAGCACCGGCTCTTACCATCATGGGAAAGATGATGGCAGCACGGGACACCTTGATGGCCCAGAGCAGGACGAGGCAGATGAGCTGGATCATGGTGAAGAAATGCACCTTCTGCAAGGGAACGTGCCGCAGGTAGATGAAATCTGACTGTTGTTTCGCCGGCATCCAAAAGAGCTTCAAGCGATCGAAGAACTGCAAAATAAAAGCAGAAAAGTTACCCCTTGGGGCTGCGGAAAGTTTCTGGCCCTGTTGAGACATGGAAGCAGTTTTCAGGATCTCGCGTGCAATGAGAAATCCTGGATCCCACTTTGTTCCTCCCAGGAGCAGTACCCATTTTCCCTTTGCTCCATCTATAAACCAGTGTGCCCATGAGAGCTGCCCACCAAATTGCAATCATTCCACATCCTTCTATTATAGAATCAGGTTGGTTTAGGTTGGAAGGGACCTCCAAGATCATCCAGTCCCATCCCCTTCCCTGGGCAGGGCCCCCTCCCACCAGCTCATGTTGCTCCAAGCCCTGTCCAGCCTGGCCTTGAACACCTCCAGGGATGGGGCAACCACAGCTTCTCGGGGCAACCTGCACCAGGGGCTCACCGCCCTCAGAGTGAAAAATTTCTCCCTGATCTCTCATCTCAATCTGCCCTCTTTCAGTGTCAAATCGTACCCCCTAGTCCCGTGGCTCCCCTCCCTTATCCAGAGCCCCTCACGAGCTCTCCTGGAGCCCCTTTAGGCACTGGAAGGGGCTCGAAGGTCTCCCCTTTTTCGCCTTCTCTTCTCCAGGCTGAACCCCCCCAACTCTCCCAGCCTGTCCTCCCAGCAGAGGGGCTCCAGCCCTCCCAGCATCTCTGGGGCCTCCTCTGGCCCCGCTCCAACAGCTCCATGTCCTTCTGCTGTTGGAGGCTCCGAGCTGGACGCAGTACTCCAGGTGGGGTCCCCCCAGTGCTGGCCACGCTGCTGGGGATGCAGCCCAGGGTGCTTTTCCTAATACAAAATTCCTGCCTGCTTCTGGAGAGGTTTTCGCCCACACCACTGCTTTTTTCCTGCTTCTCTGGAGATGAAATAGCAGGGAGCTGCACGCTGTAATAGAATCATGGTCCTTCTCCTCACACCATCTCACCCACCCCACACACACGCCCCCATTCTTCTATAAAAATTATTTTTAATATATTCTATTCTTCTATTTGTTATTTGGCATTTCTGAGCCCACTGAATCCCCCAGCGAGGATTTCCACTGGCAGTAGAAATTGCCTTCTCTTTCCACTGAATTCCCCCATTTTCACCAAACCAAACACTGCCCTGTCCCAAACCATGACACAGAGCTCGCTGAACTTGCCTGGTCCTCCCACCCTACGTACCTCCTGTGCCCCCACCAAGCTTTTCCTAATACAAAATTCCTGCCTGCTTCTGGAGAGGTTTTCGCCCACACCACTGCTTTTTTCCTGCTTCTCTGGAGATGAAATAGCAGGGAGCTGCACGCTGTAAGAGCCCGTACCTAAATCCCTCTGAGCAACAACACACCCATGTAGAGAAAGACACCATAAAGCACAGGCATTGGTATAAGCTGGGAAATTAAAAAAAAGAGAAGGCAATAATTTATTTTGTAATTGCATTTTCAGTATTGCTGCTCTCTTCTATAGGCACTGCCTAAAATTGCCTAAAGCTTTCCAGTTTCCGCAGGGTTAGAGGTGTGTCGGCTCTTAACCCTTAGAGGTTTTGTGCGTGCGCGTGAGTGAGTTAATGCTCTGCTTTAGGCTGAGCTTCTGAGTTACATTTCATTAGAATAATCCTATTTTCCTGAAGGGTTAGAGGAAAATAGGCAATTTCACCCATGCTACTATATGCCACGTTCTGTGACGGCAGAAAAATATTTCTACATATTCTTGTGGCAACATACAAAAGAAAAGTGCCTCCTTTTCGCCTTGAGCTGAGATCACTTTGTCGGAGGAACACACAAGGAAGCCCCTGGGGATGATTTTGGTGTGTTTAACTACTGGGAATGGCTGTTAGGAGGCATTTGGGGGAGCAAATTGCATCCCATAACGTGCTGCCTGCTTGAAAGAGAGCAGCTGTACTGGTCTGAACCCACTTAATTGTAACCCATAAACACAGGGGGCCTGAAAGACACCTGGGAATTAAAGCAGTCATCCTGCTCCCTTGCCTCAAGGACACCAAACTGGGGTGTGAAGGGCTGGAAAGCGTAACTGAGGCTGGTTCCTACCACAGGTCAAGCCTCAAGGTTTGGGATAGCCTCCTCCTCTGCTCCACACCTCCTGAGGCCTGGAGGGAGGGGATTGGTTTTGTATAACCTCCAAAAAGCTCACGGTTGTTGGGTGTTTTGCATTTTCCTCTTACCTTTAACATCAAAGTGAAGAAGACCGAGCAGCCCATGAGCATAAAGATCATCAAGCCAGTGACTCTCTGCTCTTGTATCCCCGAAACTTGAGATGTTCTCCTGGAGCTGACCAGCCAGACTCTACTTTGAGGCTGTTCACGTGGGTGATGGGCAGGACAGTCGCAGCCACAAACCAGGGCAGCCCCATCACGGAGCACACCCCGAGAATCATGGCCACCACGAAAAGGTCCAGGTGGTACCTGCAGCCTTTCTGTGGGCAGCAAAACAAGGAACAGAGCATCCTGTAGCACAAGAGCAAGGACAACTTCGCAGCTCAGACTCAAACCCTACTTGGGTGCAAGTCACCCTCTTGAAAACTTAAAAGGAGAATTGGCAACAAATAAGGATGAATCCGGTCTTTGCACAAGCACCTTGCGTGAAAATCTGGCAGGAGTTCAGACAAAGTGGAGTTGGGAGGTTTGTGCAATAGCTACTTCTCAAACAAACAAAAGACTAGTTTCATTCACAAAGAAATTTCTACTACTGGCAAGCAAGACGTGACCCCGAGTTATCCCTTGACGTGCACCAAAACGATTCGTTCCCCCAGCTCCTGCTGGCATTTGGAAACAAAAACGCACTTCTATATTGCTCTAAAATTAAGTTGTTCCTCTGAAAGACTGCTCATCTGAACTCCCCTCTCGTTTGCTCCCTGTGACATCACTAATCCAGCAGAGCATCCTGGCACACAGTCTGACGTTGGCCCAAACCAACACCTTCACAAAGCACTTGGAATAGGAGCTTCTCCCCACACCTGTAGCCCAGAGTGGGGTGGGGATGGGGTCAGCTCTTGCAGCCCCTTACCTTCAGCTTGTGCTCCTTCCTGTTGACAATGACAGCAGAGATCTGCTGGTCCATGAATATCAAGATGGTGCAGAGCAGAGCTGGGATAAGCGCCGCCAACACCGTCCACCAAGGGTTGGGCCCTATGGGGTTGATCAACCACCCGCGGTCGTCTCTGGTAGGCTGCAACAAAGCCAAAACACATGTCAGGATCAACTCCCAGACCAGCCACTTCACTGGCTTTGATTTTCCTCTCCATCGCTGTGGCGCCTCATCTCCTGTCCCTGGTTTCATGTCACCCTCTCCTACGGGATTCAGCAGTGCCAGTGTCCTCGTCACAAGCACCTATAGATCCTTCTGTTCTCAAGTTTTGGGGCTGGCTTCCTTTTTCCAGAAGGAAACGACGCACTCGGAGGTGGAAGAGGAGATAGTAACACCACCAGCATCTCCAGACTCAGCCCTGTTCTGTCCCAGCATCCCCTTGTGGCATCCCCAAGGGCTGAAAGCAGCTCCACACCAAAACACCCCATTACCTTGAACACGTGGGGGACGTGGAGCTTCGGCGATGGGATCCCAATCATGAAGTCAATGAGCACCATGATGACGACGGTGAGGAAAACAGCAAAGTCACTTACTGTGGATGGTACCTGGAGCAAGAAAGCAGAGCTGAAACGGGGCCATACCATGAGATGGAAAAGTTAAAGACATCAAGAACATGAAGGCTGGTTAACAAATTCCCATCACTCTGAGGACATGCAGCCAAATCCCTCGGTTAGATACTGCTGCTGTCTTTGTCCCTGTGAGATCTGGTGTCAGACAATAAAAAAAAAGTTTAATTAAGTGGAAAAGGGTCGTTTCAATTCAAAACTTTAAAAAAAGCTAATAAATATTAAAAAACAGGGAAACAGATGTCTCTGCTACTACATCTGCACTACAGCTAAAATGGGAATAAGGCACTGAGGCATCGTTTGCTCCTCGAAAGGAAGAAACAGTATCTTTTGTGTCTTTTTCTATGGCAGCTCCTCATTTGAACCAACTTTCCCCTTGAGCACACAAGGCACAGAAGGTGAAAAAAAACACCAACAAAAAACCACCAACCAACTTTGGAAGACCTGATTTCCCACCGTCTGGGCAAGAAACCGCTGCAGGGCAGGTCACAAGGCAGGTGGGAAATGCTACGATCCTTTTGCACTCATGGAAATGAGTGAGTGACATCCAAGCTCGGCCTTCAAGGTCAACATTTCCCAGTTTGACCAAGTGGTGGCAAACACTGCTTAGTGCTCCAGGAAAGCCATTTTGGGAAATGAGTGTGCAGACTGCTGCTGGCCACTGTCTTCTACCTACTCTGGTTGGGAAGTAACGGCTGGTCTTAAACTTCTTCAATAAGCTCGACAGGACAAAGGTGGAGAAGAAGAGGATGCAGCACCAGAAGAGGACATTAGGCGTGTAGGGGCCATTGCGTCCACAGGCAGGTCCGTGAAACTCTCCATGCAAATACCGACATTCGTGGGAAAACAGAGCGTCAGGACACAGAGGTAATGCACGTGCAGCAAGGAAACCTCAGATAACTAGGGGGGTTGGAGGATCTTGCTCCAAGATTCATGACCTTGGGACTGCTGCTGCCAGCAGAGATTTATATTTAACGATCAGCAGCAGCTGAATAAGTGACACACGGAACTACACAGACAGCGGAGAAGTGCTGCTAAAGGTAGTCACTCACTTTCAGGTAGTATTTGAATTCAATACGTAGAACATATTTACACCTAGAAAGTTGAAAACACTTACAGCCCCAGCCACCTAATAATAGAGGAAAACACTGAGAGTGGCAAGAAAGGGAAGGAGGGAAACCCGAAGATTATTTTTGGACAGAAAAGCTATTGTTAAGCAAAGTATTCTCGAGACAGCTGGCATGGATTCATCTGTTCTCCAGGGCTGAAGACACCAGTCTATATATTTCCTTACCTATATCTAACCATGCATCATCAGTATAAATGAGTAAACTGAGAGACTTTAGAAAGGTAGAAACACTTTGTACACCAGAGGCTTCATGAGCGTCACCGTGAGTATAAGCCAGCAGGGGACAGATACACAGGCAGACAGACAAGCCTTTGCTAGGCTCCTTAAAGAAGATTATGGTTGTGACCATTTGTTTCAATCAGCTGTGCATCTGAAAGTACTTTAGAGATCTGATTACCTCAAGTTTTAGCCGACATCCGTGCTAAATGCCAAGGTTATATTTTTGCACTGCAACTTAGTAGTAAGAAAGCCACCTTTAACTAAAACAAGAGTGACCTGTGACTCACAAGACATTATTGTGTCCACTGACATTGCTGGTCCTGAAAACCTGGCTCTCAAAGTTGCTGAGAGAAGCAGCAATACCTTTCATTAGGCCAACCAGCATCACTCGAAGAAGAGACAAGGCTTTGGGCACACGAGCCTGACATGAGTGACATGAAGAATGAGCATTGTCATTTCTTCTTCCAACGATAGCAGCTAATCTAACATCAGCTATTTTCTCTCAACTTTATTTTTCATATCCTTCCATATACTGTGGTTTTATCAGCACTTTTGCCTGCACTACTTGATATCATTTTTCTAATATCCTGTATCACACTCAAGTATTATCCAGCCAGAGCAGCAGCTCAAGAGTTATAAACTTTGTGTTTCACTCTTGAATCTGGTGCGCAGGTGGTCCAGCGAAACAGCCCAGACTCAGAGCTCCTCAAGGAAGAGCGCCAGACCTTAGTCACAAAGACCAGGATTAACTGCAGGTTAAGGTTTCAAGAGGCTTTACTAAATTAATCATGTGGAGGACTCAGATATTCTAGCTGCAAATCATTGGTCTAAAGCACCAAAAAAACCCCAACACCACTTCAAGTTTAAAGACGGCAAGTAATCTCCGCTTCAGTAATACATAAGTGAGCACTACTAGAGCAAAAGTTACCAGTTCAATACTCAAGAAACAATGGCGTTAAGAAAGTAAAGTAGTCACTTTTTTCTTCAATTTGCAGTCCCAACTGTTTTCATACCAAAAAAAAAGAGTAGGTAACATTCAGAAATCTGTGGCTTCACCAAAGAACAAAAAAAAGTCCAACAAACAAACAAAAGTCACATTGACATTTTAGGAAGAATTCGTCAAATGGGAGTTCCTGAAGGACTGCATATTTTTTTCCCTTTTGTTTTAAATGATTCACAAGTAGATAATTCTTTCTTTCAAAAAATGCAATCCTTCATGATGGTGAAAAGGTAATTAGAATGATCCAAAATTATTCCTCTGCTTGTAGCTCTCCCTTTAAATCTAGACAGGCCACTTCATAGATTTTTGGTCTTAAAGATTCAGCTTAATGCTGCACACAGAGAAAACCCTGACTCTGTAACTACAAATACATACCTCGGTATCCTAGGGTCATGCCATGTGCTAACTCCTGGGTTTGCACAGTGACCTGCTGCCAGCCAGTTGGAGCTTAATAATAAATTTAATTGCAGTAAGGGGGGTTAATCTCCCATCACAATTGCCACAACAAAAACACTGTCATGGAAAATATCCATTTTGCAAGAAAAGCTCCTGCTTTTTCAAAAATCATCAAAACATTTGACCAGGAAACTATTTGGATATGTGGGTAAAATATATTCCTACTTCCAGCAAGAATCATGCAAAAAAGTGCCTGAGTTTGTACTGAGAGGAAAGCAAATCTTCCCTCATTCCCAAACCAGAGTGATTTGTCTCATCTTCCCTGTGCAGCCCATCTTGGGCATCCACATCCTCATGGTTTCTCCTCCTCCTGCAGTTTCACTTTAACCCTAAAAACCCCGAACTACCCCATCCATCCTGCAGAGACTGAGGGCTCCTGCACCGTCACATACGAAAGCAGCAGCGTGTGAAGTCTGTGACACAGAAGACAACTGAAATCTACCAACTACCACTAAGAAAAACAGAAGAAAAACATCTTTTCTCCATCCCTGCTTTATTCCGAAGGTGCTCATAGCATGTGGCCACAGCAGCCATCCTTACTTGCAGAATTTGTAGAGGACCTTCTCGAACACGAGGACGGGGCCGGTGCTGCCGAGGATGGTGAGAGGTTGGCCAGCAAAGAGGGAATACACCACGCCGGTCATGGATGCACCCAGCAGCGACTCCATGGCACTCTGTCCAGGGAAGAGAGGCAGTAGTGAGTAATTAAACCATGAGGGGAAAAAAAAACAAGTGCCAATTCACTGCAGAAAGGACTTTGCATGAGTTCTATCTTCCCCCATGCCACCCAACAGAGAGAGGTGCTCACAATGTAGCCATTGGTTGCCTCCCCAAGTGGTCCCCCAAAAGTGATGATCAGGGACATGCAGGCACAGTAGAGGAAGAGGAAGGACGCTGTGGAAAACTTCTTGGAAAACAACAGACACGTACTGAAGGTCTACATGAAGGAGGAAATCACGCGCTGACACTGAAACTACTGCTACTCCTCAACAGATGCAGAATGTGTATTAATTAAAAGACTGACTTGGCAGAAATAGTAACAAAGTGTAGATAATAAGTTACAGCTGCATTTAACCAATAATAGTTTGTGTGTATAAGTCTAGAAACCAATGAGCACAAGC